ATCAAAAAACAAACTTTTTAAAAAAAAAAATATTTTTCTTTAGTGAAAATCTCACGAGTGTTGCAACAGAAAAGCAGGGCACTTTCATTGATAACTGTGTCTACAAAGAAATACTCCAATAAAATCTACTTTGTGATGTAATGCTGTGTAATCCTTTTTCTCATGGATGATGAACATTTTTGAATGTCAAGTATGAGTACATTGTTGTAGAACTGTCAGAAAATTCCAGAAAAGGGTGCAGGCCCAAAAGCCTTCCACAGGAACTAGCAGTTATACCTGCCCGGAAAACGGGTATTTCTGCTTGTGTGCTTAAATGATCACTCATCTTTTATTACTAACAAAGTTTTTGGTTTTTTCTCGCTAAAATTGGATGCCCTGCTACATTTGTGAAAGTATTGTTACATCTTTTCTAACAAACAACACTAATCAAGCTATTTGATATGCATTCTGGGAGCTGTATTTCAAACTGGAGAGTATGTCCTTGTATTCGCATTACTTCAAGACCTCTTCCAGATTTTCAGATACCAAAGTGGCCTGAAATACAAGTATTCACAGTTCTTACACAATTAAAAAAAATAAACCAACACCTTGATTTTGCCTGGAATAAATATAACAGAAAAAAAACAGCACCATAGCAAATTTCACAAATGAATTTATTTAATATTTCTTATTTTTTAGTGCACAGTTCAATACTGATAAGAAAGTGAATTATTTTTTTCAATAAGCCCTGTACATACAGGATAAGATAATGATGAGACCATGAATCTTGAATGCTTCTCTGTGAGTGACCAGTGACTTAATTGAAAAACATTATTGATATGATAAAAAAAAATCTATTGAAATATACAAGATAATTTATACATTCATTTCATAAGAGAAAGAATGCCAGCTCAGGAGTAAACTCTGACAATTTTATATAGCTCCTAAGTTCTTGAATTCAAAATTATATGACAAAATTGAAATCAATGCAGTTTAACAATAAAACTGATAGGATTTTATCTATAGATATTTTCCACCATGTACAAGGAAAATAAACACAAGTTAGTTTAACAAATACTGAATGGTAATCAGGATTTTTTTTTATAAGCAAATATACTTTTCTATGCATAGTTTAATATCTACTTATTGCATTTTCATATAATTATTTTTCAAGGTTTACCTTCTTGCTCAAAGCTACACCATCTTCACAATCCAGCACTGCACAGTCTACATTTAAAGTGGGAACTTTTTTTAATTTTCGTTCATCATCACCTGGAACATATAATACAGCTCTACGTGGGATGTACTTTTTTCCAAAAATTCCTCTCTTTTCTGTTACTTGGTTATTTCTGCTACAACTCGACCATAGAAATCTTGTAAAAAAAGAAAAACTACATCTTTTGGCACCAGTCTGCCATAACATTGTCAGTTGATGATGAAGACCAGCCATGTTTGGTACTACAATTGTTTCTACTGTAACAAAACATGCAAACACAGATGAGAGAACAAATATGATGATGATTTTCTTAAGTACTCTAGCTATCATTTATTTCAAGGGTTATTGAAAGCAATACAATCCAAAAGGGACTGCTTTTAATTTCTTCAGATGATTAATTTTGCTTTATAATTATAAGTATGAAAGGTAATATTAAATTTGGATTCAAAAATAGTTTTTTTTTTTATGAGAGGTGATCTTGATAAGTTGAATAATCTTCTATCAACTTATAAAAGTAGCTACCTCAGTTAGTAAGAAATTCTTGCACATTGACTAGCGACAAAGTTACCAATTTTAGATCTTTATTTTATAAGGTTACATAATTTTACACAAAAACTTCAAAAAACCTTGAATTTGATTCTTATTTAAGCAAAAAATTATATTTAAAGCACTGAATATATATTACATAAAAAAAGAAATAGGAGATTAAGAATTAAAAAGTTCACACTAGGTTCAATTTCATTTTAATATTTTAGTAGTAGTACGCCTACTAGTACTAGTAGTACTCAATACCGAGTAGTCAGTAGTACTTAAGTTACAACTACAATTTACAGTGTTACTACTAATATACTAGTCTCATTAGCCCTAAAAATCAAGACTAGGGTCTATTAACTTCTAAGAAAATTTGGTGTAATTTGAAGTTTGATGACTTCTCGAAAATACAGTCTAAGAAAGAAAAAATACATACAATATTTAAAAACATAAAAAGTGTCTACTACAATACCATAAATGAATAACGTTAGTTTTTAAAACTCCACTAACACGCAGCACCCTCTAGAACTATTTTCGTTTAACAGCGTAAAAAACTAATACGTTCATAATCCATTCTGTGTACACAATACATGTATTTATATTAAATGAAATACAGTACACTATTTTTGAATAATAATCAGAAATCTGTAAATAAGGATGTTACTTTTTGGAGAAAAAAGAACATGAGTGTCGAAGCCATTCTATCGAAGTCCATTGATAATTAACAAACGTGATTACTTACTCATTACCTTTACTCGATTAAAAACTACTCGACTTTTTCATACACAGAATACTTTTCTGAATTCTCAATCACTATTCAATAACTTATCAACAAATACTTCACTTTACTAATTTCTCAATCACTAGCCCACAGTGGCACAGCGGTATGTCTGCGGACTTACAACGCTAGAAACCGGGTTTCGATACCCGTGGTGTGCAGAGCACAGATAGTCCATTGTGTAGCTTTGTGCATAAATTCAAAACAAACAAACAAAATTTCAAATTTAGAGATAACAACCTGAGCAAGAAAATAGGTTCAAATCTGAAATTACTATGGAAAGGTGACAGAAGAACGAGGCAGAAAATTAAAAACAGATCAAGAAGAATAAAACAGAAAATTAAAAGAAAATCAAGAAGAGAAAACATAAAATTAAAATAAAAGAAAGCCCCGGTATGGCCAGGTGGTTAGGGCGCTCGACTTGCAATCTGAGGGTCGAATCCCCCTCCCACCAAACATGCTCGCCTTTTCAGCCGTGGGAGCATTATAATGTGACGGTCAATCCCACTATTCGTTGGTAAAAGAGTAGCCCAAGAGTTGGCGGTGGGTGATGATGACACTGTCTTACACTTCTGTCTTACACTGCTAAATTCGTGTAGCTTTGCACGAAATTCAAAACAAACAAATAAGAAAGAGACGGGAAATTAAAAGAAGACCAAGAAAAATGTATAGGAAATTTAAAAAAAAAAAGGTCAAAAGGTAAAGAGAGGATAATTTAAGAGATGAGTTAAAAGAGAGATATAATATTTAAAGAATTAATGAAGCTATTGGGGATATACAGAGGGGTTACAACAATAAGTTTGAAAGAGTGCAGAGAGAAATCAAAGAAGTTCAAAAGTCTGTAATGAAAAAATCGAAGAAGTACATAAAGAGATCATTGAAGCAGAAAAGAACATCAGTGACAGAACATAATATATGGAAAACAAAAAGGTAAATGCAAAGATTCAATCAACTACACCTCTTTCCACATATGCCTACAACATACTGAACAGGAGAGACTATTTGGCCTACACCTATTACAACTAACTCTTTGCCATCTGTACCAAAGAACTTTCCTCGTCTATTCTAGCCATGTCAATATCAAATCTAGTTCCATAATGTAGCTGGCAAATTCAACAATATCGTTCAATTAGAACCAAAGAACTATGAAATAAAATTATCATGAGAGGTAAATCAGCTTCAGTTAAAAATCATTTCCAGAATAATCTTGTTAAAAGTATTAACTTTAACAACATTAAATGACATTTCAACTGAGAGTTTTAACAACTATCGAGCATTGGTAACTGCCTTATCCAGCAGGTTCAAAGTGGCATGCCAGAAAGAAGTATCTAGAGTAAATTTATGGAACAGGGTACAAAAGAAAGAAAATAATTTTAGTCAATTTGCAAAATATTTGAAAAGGTTTTTACAATTATCTTACTCCAATGCTCCACGCGAAATGATTGATTTATTAGTATGTGATCAATTTATAGGTATCGTAACAGATGATGATATGAGAATTAGGTTAAAGCAAAGTAGGAGTACATCTTTAAAGGAGGACCTCTTCTTTATAATGAAACTTAAATCCATTTAAGTCACAGGTAAATAACTAAAGGCACCATCTATAAATTACGTAGATATCATCAGATCAAGTAGTATTGAATTATCACCGCCCTCTGGGGATAGTCTAGAAGAACTAAGAGGATTAGTTAGACATCTTCTAACATAAAATGGGGGAAATAAATCACAACACAACAATTGTTTTAAGTGTGACTTGAAAGGACATATTGGTATGAATTGTAGAAAAAAAAACTGTGAGGAATAAGAACTCCTCTAAAGAATACCAGACAGAGGGAATTGTCTACTAAGAATACCTGTCACCATCCCTATTTTTGAGCTATTTACCAGAGGAAGACAGTCATCGGCAATATCCTAGAACCCACGGTTCGTGCTAAGGATTGGCTGTCATTCTTATAATATACCCACAGCTAAAAATGGGGGTGGGTATTTTGTGATGTTAAACAGGTTCAAATCCGGCTTGCCAGCTCCAAAACCCAGATCTTTAACAGATCCAACCTGCACTCAATCAAATTGTATAGCTCATTCGTCGAGAAGTAAGATCTGAAATTTGTTCAAATATGTCACCAGAGAAATTTGATGGCAAATGTGATGTTCAAATCCATTAAAAAGATGTAGATTGAAAAGGTCGTCAAATTTTACATTTCCATACGTACCAAAAATATATCTTTATTCAATTAAAAATTTTCTGTGTTTTCCGCAGGTGTTCTAGTTGGTGAAATCCTTGTAAACTAGATGTACAAATATCATAAACTTACAATAATCCTCAAGCTTCAATAAAGATTAATGATTATTTTGTCAGGCTCATACTTTTTGGAATTTTTTTTGTATTTTGTACCCTCCTAAACAGGTTATACTCATTTCAAGAGGTGTTAGACAGAACTGTACAAGTTAGAGATTTGTCTTCCTTAAATGAGTATAATGTGAATGATCACTGATGTAGGTTTTTATGGCCTATAGAACACCACGATGGGCTTTCTGTCTGAATTCAAAATTACAGAATGATATCATCATTACTTTTGCTCTGGTCTCCTTCCTGTCTAGATGTTAGAAACCTTCACTGCCCCAGCAACCAGTAGTATCTATAATGAATTTCTAAAATTACTAGTATTAGGTAAAGCCTCAGCAGACATTTTGATTGTATAAATAAGGATTGTTGTTATTTTTGTGTCTTTGTATTTGCATGTTTTGCCTTTGTCCATAATATTTTTTCTGTACATGACTTATAATTATCTCCTTAAAATCAGTGTACCTGAATATTACAAATTCTGAATCAGATTGAAATACAGTAATCATCCTATTGACCATGAAAGCTACTTTATGTCACTGTCATGCTCTTCAAAGAATTTCAGATAACCTGAGTATGATGAAAAGTATCAATATTATCTTGATAAAGCTTTTGTATATCATAGTGAATATGCAGCCATGTGGAGTGTGCAGTAGTGTCAACAACTGTCATGTACATTCTGAATGTTATCTACCCTTCTAAAGGAAAAAAAAAGAACGTATTCCCACTCAAAATAACATTCTTATACTATTACATCACTTACAATAGCTTACAATGTTGGAGCCCCCTAGGGGCTTAGCGGTAGATCTGCAGACTTACGACGTTAAAAATCGGATTTAGATACCTGTGGTGGACAGATTACAAATAGCCTTGTATAACAAAGATTGAAGATGCTTTTCGCCAACATCTCCTTCGATCTTTGTATCAACTAATCCTTTTCAAACATGCCCATCTGCGCAACCCTCATCTCTCTCCATTTACTAACTTTGGGCAACAACTTGTCAGTGTCAGGTTAGAACCAATCATGATGACAAAACCAGTCAAACCATCTTGTACCAAGCCACTTTCCTGCAAATGTAAATTGTGCAGATGTATTTGGAACTGTACGTGTGCTAGAGCATTTATTCCTTGCATGATTGGTTGTGCGTATCTAAGGTCACCTGAAAAATGTGGTCGAATTCCAAACAACAAATCTTCGTCAGAGAAGGATAATGACTAGGATCATATGTGGGTCTGGATGTGGGTGTGTGTGTGTGGGTTGGTCTGGGTGTGTATGATTATGCGCTTTCATAATTTGTCAGATAAAACAGTATATATTTAGTTGTTTGTATTTCAAAATTTTGCTTATAAGTTAAATGTGGTGACAGATTTATTGTCTACATTTTTCCTTTCATTGTACTCATACGTTCACATACTTTGTAACAATTTGTTCAAAGTATTGATTGTACAATATGTTGAAACAACATACCGAATGTCCGTATGTATGATGGTGCAATATACTCAATAATACATATGAAACCTTACAATATCCTCAGATGTTTTGATTGTTGGTTGTTATCTTGCCAAAAATGCCACTTTTGGGGGTACATAGGGTAGTTCTACACTTCGAGTTTGTCATGATATAATAGTCTGTTTAGTGAAGGTAGTATTAATTTATTTATTTTGTGAGTTAATATTTTATGATTGTTTGGTGTGTGTGTTTTATATAATAAGAGTGTTAAAAGCAGACGATTATTGGAAGTTGTGTTTATAATTCATTGATGTTGAGACTATCGAATGTCGCATGCAATACATTGACGTCAAGAATATAGAGATTTCTAGAAAGCGGGTAGACGATTAAGTGATAAACATATAAATAGTGTGAGACGAGCGGAAACAGGGTAGACGAGAAAGTAAAGTCACGGGAAGTAGAAATTCGGCCAAGGAAAGTTAAACGGAAAGTTAACTGCCGTAGGAGTGAAAGGCCTAACGGTTAATATGTTAGAAGTATAGCTTATTCTGTCAAAACGTGGTTCTAAAGTAATTGAACCAGGCTGGGTGCACTTTGACAAAAGGAACGGACGATTACTAGAAGAGCAGTATAGGATTGTGGTAACTCATGCTATAATTGTAAGTGAATTATACACGGAATACTAGTGCGATAGAAATAGAGAAGAGTAGTTTAGCTTATCAACTGAAATTCTAAACCAATTGAATAAGTATAAGTAGACTTTTGACAAGAAGAAGAGAACTATACATAGTCTTTATGATATGCCTATAATCTCTATAGTGTAAAGAATTGTTGTACATACATTTAACTTGTTCCGAATATAAATATTATTTTGAAAACAAGTGGAGTACGTACTGTTCATTTATTGTTGAATTTATCGTCAACAACTCACAGTCACCTGCTTTAAAAGAATCCTAAGCACAACAACAACACAGTATATATTCATACTATTAAGGAAGTATAAGTAAAAACCTTTAATTGACAATTAGTGAACATAAGCTAGCCTCACATCCGATAAAGCTATAACATTCAAAGGCAAGATAATTTATACAGGTAACATTAGTTTTCTTAACTAATGTAAAAAAAAAATGTATGATACCAAAGTATATCTTTTCAGGCACTTGTTTTCAATTATTGGGGGCTTGGCATCCTGACTAGCAGGATGAGTGAAAAGTTATTATCAGATGATTATTTTCCATTAACACGGGTCATGTTTAAGATGGGGTATTTGATTGAACTTAATATACGCGTGTTTGTGTGCAGTAATGGAGTATTTTAATATCACTAGCAAATATTATTACCTGGTTAAGGGTAACAATTTTTTGTTCAGATAGTCGCGCACAGCTATTCAAGGACTATACATGCTAACTGTTCGTAACGTTTGGAGACGACTTGAATGGATAGTGAAAGAAACTTTATTACAAATATACAACGTTTCGACAAGCTTATATCAACGTTTTACATTTGTAATAAGTTTTTTTTTCTCTACCTATTCAAGCAGTCACCAAGTTTTATTTTCTAACAAGTCTGTTCCTCGTCATCAAATTTGAATTCATCTCTAGTGGCTTGGCATGGCCAGGTGGTTAGGGCGCTCGACTCGCAATCTGCGGGTCGTGGGTTCGAATCCCTGTCATACCAAACATGCTTGCCCTTTCAGCCGTGGAAGTGTTATAATGTGACGGTCAAGCCCACTATTCGTTGGTAAAAGAGTAGCCCAAGAGTTGGCGGTGGGTGGTGATGACTAGCTGCCTTCCCTCTAGTCTTACACTGCTAAATTAGGGGCGGCTAGCGCAGACAGCCCTCGTGTAGCTTTGGGTGAAATTCAAAACAAACAAACAGACAATCATCACTAGCTGTTCGTTGGTAATTTTGAACTAATGGACAGACTAGAATGAAAACAACTAGTCAACACAAGACCTACTGCCAGCTCTTGGACTACTTTTATTTGACAGAATAGTGGTATTTTACCGACACCCTTAAATAAAGCATCCATAGGCCCCAAATTGTGGAGCGCAGTTTTTTTTATTTTTGAGGTAAGGGGTCGAGAGAACGATTGATCCGCGGATTCATCGTCAGGCACGACAACCATTGGTTCACGCTCGACCCAAAGGAGAAATGACACATTTGTTTCTTTTTCTTATGCCTTGTTCTATCAATTTTGTTTATTTGTTTAAACAGAATAATACTTTTCTGAGAGAATTAGCAAATATACTCACAAGATAGGTTTTAGTTTGCTTTTTAGCACAAAGTCATACAATGTACTATATGTTCTGTCTACTATGGGGAATTGAATTCCGAATTTTAAACCTTGTAAGTCCATAATCTTACCGTTAATTCACCAGTGGAACATAATAAAGTGAAATGTACACAAGCAGCATATAAGATCAATTATAACGACATCTAGGAAGAATTTTGGGAGGTTCAAGATAATAATTTCTTTATTTTTCAATATTTGTCTTAAAGTAATTAATAATCCAGATTACGTTTTAAACTACATTCCATTGAATTAACAATATTCAGACGACATTTAGTAGTTATCTTCTATCAAGTCAGCAATGCTTCATCCAGACATATCTCGTGTCTGTTTTCTACACGGTCAACAATGCTCCAGCCATATTTCGTGTCTGTCTTCCACTTCATTGATGCCTTTATACGTTGCTGAGGAAAATATAATAACGCCAAAATAAATTCACAATGGCTTTCGACAAGCAAAATAATCACAAGAAACAATGTTTTCATCGACATGTTGAACAGTAGAAACATTAAATATTCCATTCCTATTTTCTGAAAATAGTTCCTCGTTTTCAAAACAAAAGTAAACAGTTTTAAAACCAGTGTATGTTAAGTTTTATTTCTCCGTGAATAAAACAATAATAGATTACTGTCTATAAAAATCAATGTAAACAAATATTCTAAGCATTCTAAATTGTTCGTTTTTAACCGTCAACAAAGGAGTAATTAAACAATTTAAAAGCAGCAAAGGAAAAAAAGTTCAAAGCTATCTTAACCTTAAAAATTATATATTAATCTGTAAAACACGCTAATTTATTATTATTATTTTCAAAATCTAGAATTCTTATAAGATGAACTATAAATTTACTGTTTATCTTCCATCAGAAATTTGACTCACTTTATTATCAGTGTTGTTTTCTAGAATAATTTATTATTTTATTCTGCGACGGGAATTTAAGAAAAACACGTGTAGCTCAGACTATTACATCTGCGTTGAGAAAAAAAGAAAAGATTAAGATGGTATGTGTTATCAGAGGTTTGATTCATTGAGCCATTATGCCTGAAGATAATAATAACAATTAATAATAATAATAAAATGGTATTAACTTGTATTTGAGGTTACTACAGAGTAATTTAAGCCACTCGAACTCTGCTATTTTTTGCGGTGTTATACGAACTCTCTCTCATTATTATTATATATATATATATATATATATATTGACATACATACATAAAGTGATTGTAAAGTTAGTTGGCTTTTTATCACATAAGTGGTTCGAAGATCAATCAGAGGGTGATAATGTTTTCCGTGAACTAATAAGACGATGAGAAGGACGACTCCAGTGTCAAAAGCCCCCCCCCCCCCCTCACTGGCACAGCGGTATGTCTGTGGACTTACAACGCTAGAAACCTGATTTCGATATCCGTGGTGGGCAAAGCACAGATAGCCCATTGTGTAGCTTTGTGCTTAATTATAAACAAACAAACAAACAATCCAGTGCTAAAAATAATTATCAACAGACGACGCTAATTGCTAAATTCGCGAAGCCAACATTTGATAAAGTTCGATGTAAACATTATCTATAGCGCTTGTTACTTGCATTTTTGAGAAAACGTGAGCAGCACTGTCGGATTACCAACAGTTGCACTTGGTGTCACATGTCTTTTAGGCCTATCAAGATAGTGGTGCGTCACGGTAAATCAAACGTCAAGAAGGGTGAGATCCTACAGACCATGCTGGCCATGTGCGAGTGTGGAAAATATCTACTAATTACTCGACCCCCTGAAAGTAATGTTTTGACAGTCTATGCTATGTGTGGTGGACCACCATCTTGTATGAAGACTAATTTATTCAAACTTATTTGTCTTTAAAGTGAAGGGAATGATAATGTGTTTCAATATGGATCAGTAGCTTCCGCTATCTGTGGGTTCCTCAATGAAATGAGGCCAAATGACGAATTTGCTTCTTAGTCTAATCTTGTTGCACAGAAGTATGTGAATTATTTTTTTTCCACAGTTACTGGTGCTAATCTGGCCATAAGATGCTGTCTAGATTAGTGTCGCCGATTTCTACTCCATCCGGGAATTGGAGTGCAAAGTCTAACTGTTAGTGTGAATTTCTTAGAAGCAGTCTAAGTTTACTCTGTAACCTGTAGGGATACAGTCTCTCTGTGTTACTCATAATCCTCCAGATTGTTGACTCTGGAAGTCCGACTGGTGTGCTTACAGACTTGCTTGGTTTTGCATTCCTCCTAAGGACTTACTTCTCCAACAATAACCGTTGTTTATCTGAATTCCACAACAACTAAGTTGCATCAGCATATAATCACGTTTGATCCTTCGTTTTTCAATTTCTGATAAGCCTCATTAAGCTTCACTAGTGTTATCGTCATTGCTTTAGAAATGCTTTGAAAAAGCAAATCTAACATTCCGATACATTCTGTTATTTCTAAACACAAAATGAGTTAAAGTATATTTATGGGCGTCTGAAGCAAACTTACATTGGTGGGGTAAGTAACCATAATAAAATTTCAAAGTAAAAAATATGCCTGTGATTATTGCCAGTTTTTCACGCATGCGCGTTGGCGTGTAAATATTACGAGCGACGTGTTTTGCAATAAATTAATTCTCCTTATATAACGCAAAATAACCAGTATCAAATTTGTATATTTCTTTTAAATTCAATACAGTCGCTAATTAAATAGACCTGCAGATTTATACTTCATAAAAGTTGTTTTGGTTTTAATAACGGATTTTTCATAATTCAGCTACGCAGACTTCGAAAATAATATTATTATTTTTTTGCTATCAAGTAAGGATCTTTTACAAATCGGGAAGAAAAAACTTTTATTTAGATCATATTATTATGTCGTTGTTATGTCTCCGTTCATTAGTTAATTTTCCGTTAAAACTCTTACCGAAGAAACTTTACCGATACAAGTCC